ACCCCTCTGAAACATTCATAGAAGAATCATTAACTTTAGAATATTAATAGACGACTAATGACTCAAGCAGTGCTGAGATGAGTTTGAAATTTTCATACCCACTTAGCAAATTGAAATGACGTCTACTTCCATACTTAGAGAGTTCATATGGCAAATGTAAAATGATTTTTTTTTTTTTTGGTCTGTTTGAGACAGGGTCTCCTTTTAGCCCTAGCTGCCTAGAACTCACTATGTAGACCAGGCTGGCCTTGACCTCACTGAGATCCACCTGCCACTGCCTCCCAAGTGCTGGGATTAAAGGCATTTGCCACCACACCCAACTGTAAAATGGATTTGAACTGTAGTTTTTCTCTAGTTGAGAAACTCCCCAAATTTAAGATATTGTCATAAGCCAAATTTGGAACAGATAACAAACTTCATAAATAGTTGTTGTTCCCTTATAACTTCGAAGTTTTTAGAAATTAGATAGCTGAGGATCAGTCACTGATGAAATTCAGTGTCTCTGAAATGAAATGAATAAAATGAAAGCAGAGTTTTAACTGCTCATACAATTTTGGGGGGAATAGCACTATTTAAAATAGGGTCTATTTTTTTTTTTTCATTTTCATTTTTCCTTTAAGGAGTAACCATACTGTGGATAATGGCTTTGGAGATTATACAGAGGACAGTAGTTGGTATTTCCTACTTTCAAAGTAGAAGTTTGGGAGGGATTTTTGTTTTTGTTGGGTAAAATGACAAGAGAGCTCCTTTGAGAGGTGACTCTTAGCACTGTGATGCTGTGGACTGTAGTGTCAAACTTTGCTGGAGCTCTGGTTCTGTCACTCATCTACTTAAAACACTGAGCTCTCAGTCAGCCGTTATTATTGCCACTCTATTAAATATGGTCAGAGGCTGGAAAATGATAAGTAGAAGAGACTACAAACACAGAATATAAGCAAATAGGATCACTTAATATGTTTTTGCAGTAAAAATGATTCATTGTTACTTGGATCACCTAACTTAACACATAGTTAACACCCAGCACCTAAGTTAAGCATTGGTTAAACACCTAGCACTTCAAGGGGGTTATATCAAGAATTAAGGCTGAAAAATCTGAGGTTTAATTAAAATAGATAAGAGGTCTCTGTAGACATTTTTGGATGTTTCCTAATACTTTCATATATTTTTAAAGATTTTTTTCCATTAATAACCAAATGTGTAATAAATAAAATTTTCAGCATGATAAGTAAAGTTGTCAATATAAATTGTGAATTTCATGTTGAACTTAACTTGATATAGGACATATGCCAATAAATCAATAGAACCATAGAAAGATCTTTCTTTAAAAATGTCTTGAGCCAGGCATGGTGGTGCACGCTGGTAGTCCCAGCACTTGGGAGGCAGAGGCAGGCAGATCTCTGTGAGTTCAAGGCCAGCCTAGTCTACATAGTGAGTTCCAGGACAATTGGGGCTACAGGGAGACCCTGCTTCAAAAAGACCCCCCCCAAAAAGTCTTAAGCAATACAAAAAATTAATATGCAATTTCATTAAATAGCGTTCTGACATATTTTTCCTCTTGGCTTGGTATAAATCACATTTTCTTAAAATAAATGGAATAGAGGTGTTTTTTTTTTTTTTTTTTTTTTTTTTTTTTTTTTTGGTCTTTTTGAGATGGTCTCCCTGTAGTCACAGCTGTCCTGGATTCGCTATGGAAACCAGGCTGGCTTTGAACTCATAAAGATCTACCTGCCTCTGCCTCCTGAGTGCTGGGATTAAAGGTATGTGCCACCATTCCTGGTCTGGAATAGAGGTCTTTAAAAAAAATTTTTATTCTTTTTATTTTATGTGTATGAGTGTAATGTTTGCATGTAGGTGGGTGCACTCATTTCGTGCAATGCCCACAGAGATCAGAAGAGGGTGTTCTAGATCCCCTGGAACTGGAATTACAGATGGTTGTTAGCCACCATGTGGGTGCTGGGAATCAAACCTGAGTCCTCTGCAAGAGCAGCCAGTGCTCCTAACCGCTGAGCCATCTTTCCAGTCCTGGAACAGAAATATTTTTTAATAAAAGTTAAAATCTTAATTATTTTAGGGGGATCTTGACAATTACATCTTTCTTTTCCCCTCCCTCCTGCTCTCTTTCTCTCTCTTCTTTCTTTTCTTTCTTTGTCTTTGTTGAGGCATGGTCCTTGTAGTTTCAGCTGGCCTGGAACTCACTATGTAGACCAGGCTTGAACTCACAGAGATCCCCCTGACTCTGCCTCCCAAGTGCTGGGACTAAAGGTATGTACCCAGCATGGCAATTACATCTTTATTGCTGTTTTTGTTTATGTTTTGAGACAAGGTCTGACCAGTCCAAGCTGTCTTGGAACTGGCTTTGTAGCCCAACGAGGCCTTGAGCCTTTCTGATGCTTGGAATTGGAGGCGTGTGCCACTACACCCAGCTTATTGCTATGAATCTTAAGCTTTTGAGTTTTTTTTCTTTTGGTCTGGCACGCAGATAGAAGATGTAAATCAGTAACATATTCATTGCCTGGTATATTCTTTGTAAATGTTGATTGTCTACCCAGAATATATGACTTTGTTCTATGTTGCATAAGATACACAATATTAAACAGATTATATTTAGAGTTCTTTTAAAACATGAATGTAATTACTGCTTATGATTTTAAACATGACATAAAATTTTTAGGAAATTTTGCTTTTTGTAAAGCACTTGATACTTTAATGTTCTAGAGGCTTTTCTCGTATTACATTTATATGTGTGTGTACGTGTATATGTATATGTCTTTATATGGGTGCTCGTACCACAGTATGAATATGGAGTTCAGAAGACAACTTGCAGGAGTCAGTGCTTTCTACAGTTTGGGTTCTGGGGATTAAACTTAGCCATCTTGATAGCTTCAAGACATTTTTTTTTTTTTTAAAGAGTATTCCTTTATCTTGTATTTTTAAATTGAATTTTTTTGTGAATGCCATATATTGCATGTTTAGATCCCCTCCTGTATTCACCTTCCCCATAGCCCCCCAGCACTCTGTCATATGTTAAGGCTTATTGAGTCACATTGTTGTGCCCAAATGTCCTTTTACATTTTCTAACTTCTCAGTTTTTAAAAATTTTTCATGGAAATTTTGCAAATGTCTTGCAATATAGTTTGATCATCTTTAGAACACCTCTGTATCCGTACCCTCCCCTTAATATCCCTGCCTGATTTCGTGTACTCTTTTATATATACTAAATAAAGGCAAAAAGAAAGCTTAAATGATTTGTCACAGTGACTATTAAAAAGAAAAGTATTCAAATACCATTTGGTGTGGGTTCATCTGAATACTTTTAACATTTAAAAAAATTTTTTAAATATTTTATTACTTTTATTTTATGTGTATGAGCGTATTGCCTGCATGTATGTGAGTGCACCCGTGCTGTGCAGTGCTGTGGAAGTCAGAAGAGGGCTTTGGATTCCCCTGGAAATGGAGTTAAGGATAGTTTGTAGCTGCCATGTAGGTGTTGGGAATTGACTCCTCTGTAAGAACAGTCAGTCCTCTTAACCGCTGAGCCATCTCTCCAGCTTCCCTCATCTGAATACTTTTAAAAAGTAGCCACTGGAAAAGTTGCACCCGTGCTGTGCAGTGCTGTGGAAGTCAGAAGAGGGCTTTGGATTCCCCTGGAAATGGAGTTAAGGATAGTTTGTAGCTGCCATGTAGGTGTTGGGAATTGACTCCTCTGTAAGAACAGTCAGTCCTCTTAACCGCTGAGCCATCTCTCCAGCTTCCCTCATCTGAATACTTTTAAAAAGTAGCCACTGGAAAAGTAGTACTACTGGAAAAATGAACAGCAGACCCCAATTCTATCCAAAGGAATACTGACAATGGATTGCCGTAGATGAGGAACAGC